ATTCTAGAGACGCAAAAGACTTATATTAAATCTTAAAAAAGGGGTAACCTAGGTGCCCTTTAATTGCATACTTTAGAATCTTGGTAGAAGTAGGAGGTCATCCAGATTCTTCTGTTCTACTGTTTTTCATATATTACAAATGTAGACATACTGGAGACAAAAGCAATGCTCTATATGATACACTATGCATATAAACTCAACCAGTGTATGAGTTAAGTGTCTTCCCAATTGGAATACTTTTCATTCATTTTCCTTCCTCCTCGAATTAGTGACCTTCTTGCTGTGAGGCGATCGTGCAACCCACTACGCCACCGTGACACCCTACTTTCAAACACCAAAATTAAAACAAAGTACATAAATATGCATTGGATTTATTAAAAAACATGTAAGTTAAATGGTTGCAAACAATTGATATGGGCTGAATTTAAACAAACACGTTTAATTTAGTAAAGTTCAACATAATTTACTTGTTTAAATTCAGCATATTTTAATCATTTGCAATCACTTACCTTTATAAGAAAATAGTAAATCCAATGAATTGTTCGTTTCAGTATATACTTTAAGGAGAATATATCAGCAAATAATAACGCTGCAAAAAAAAGCATGTCAGTAGCTGCTATGATATGTGTTGTCCACTAGAGGGAACACATTCCTGTCTCTGAGGTAAGACCTGGGGGGAAATGGATTGAAATAAACTGCCTTATTTGATGAGGACCATGTCTTGTTGGAGAAGAACCTAATGGCAGAGGAATGCACATTGATGGTTTGGTTGATCCTTGTGGTATTTGCCAGCAGAATACACCTGTTTGAAGCTCAGAAATAGTCATTTGAGTTAGCTCTTGTTTTCCTCCTCCTCCTCCACATCTCCCTGGCAGGTCCACGCATGCACAGACTTCACTGCCTACTCACGAGGAAGTGTTTCTCTGTGTCTCTTATTCTGTACAGCAATATAAACTCTGCCCCGGGGGAGATCAGCAGGAAATTTGGCCTGATGCTGGAATTAAAGTAGAGCATTGCTGGTGTGAAGGATATTATGTATTCAGATTGTAATTCATTAATAAGGTAAGAATATCTTATAGTATTTTCATTTATATTCGTTTATATTTATTAGGAATCAAGCTTAAAATGCACTGTTTTCTATAAATTAATAAGTAATAATTATAATAATTAAGTTAATCTATTTTAAGTACAATCTATTTATATGTATGTATATATATATATATATATATATATATATATATATATATATATATATATATATATATATATATATATATATATATATATATATATATTTATATATATA